CCCTCGCTGCCTGCCGGGGCTCCCGTGGGGCTCCTCCCAGGGCTCTTGGGCCGCCCTGGGGAAAGCTGCCAAGCTGAACCTGTAACTCGGGGGCTGTGGAGGAAACGGGGGTGCTCCAGGGCAGCACCCGCTCCCGTGCATGTGGCCCTGGAGCAAACCTGAGCACAACCTTGGCTCCTGGTGATTGTTGTGTTGCAGCTTGCCCGAAGGGTTGTGAGCGAGACTGTGTGATGCTCTCCCCGCCTTGATGAAGTACCTGTGGTCTTGCAGCAAGGCCTCTGATGTGGGAAATTTTAGTCTGCAAATCATCTCAGGGCAGGGGGTCTGACAGGGGCTAGGCAGACAAGACAGCCTAGACAGATATTTCTGTCATTCCAGAGCAGGTTCCAGGTTATTTTGTCTCTCCCCACCATGGTGAAGGGGTCAGTGGGCACTGAGGTTTAGTGAGCTAATGGGAAACACTTGTTCAGTTTGGTGCACATCTGAGCCAGCACATCTCTGGACTTTGACCCACAAACTCAGGATCACGTTGGTCTCGCTTCTGGCTGAGTATGAGCTCCTGCTTCCAGCTCCAACCACAGCCTCTCATTTTTACCTTTTCCTTCAGCAAAACATAATGCAGTTTTGCAGTCTGGACTGTGTGTCCATCACAAGAGTGATGCGTTCAAAGGAGGGTCAGCAAGTCCTTCTCACATGTCCAGCTGCTTTGCCTGAGGAAGGAAAACCATCAGCTGCCGTGCTGACACGTAGGCTGGGTGATGTAGGAGGGGGTCTTTGGAAACCAGCCACAACTGACTGCCAGGTGGGAGAGCTTCTGCCTAACAGTTGGATGAGACTAGAAAAGATTAAACCCCTTGCTGCAAAAAACAGGAAACTGAAGTTTGAAGCTGTTAAGTGTAACTAGGGGAAGCTTTAGGGAAGAGAAACTGAATGCTTCTGCTTTTCCTGCTCTTGCAAGAGGAAAGGATGCTTAATTTTTCTGACAAGTATTCAAAACAAGAGTACCTACACTTGATACCCCGTTTTCTTCTGTGACCTTTGCAAGCCAGCAGTGACAATTAAATGTATTTATACTGATTCTTGGCAAGTTTTGATTTACTGTCTGAGAGTTACAAAAACAGACTACACTTCCTGATTTCAGCATGATGATTTCTGTAAAAGCTGCCAAGTCATTTTTAGACAAATTCAGGTTTTAGTTTAATCATTTTACTTCTATGGAATAATTATGAAATAGAGACCATTGCACTTCTTGTGTTATGGAAGGAAAGAACCTCTTCCAGTGAGCAGAGCACTCCATCCAGGACTGAGTCTCTTTGGCTGCCTCTTGTGGAACCACAGAATGGTTTGAGTTGGAAGGGATCTTAAAGATCATCCACTTCCAACCCCTACTGCCATGGGCAGAGATAACTTCCACTAGATCAGGTTGCTGAGGGCCCCATCCAACCTGGCCTTGAATGCTCCTGGTTTTATCTTTGTAGTGTTTTTAATCAGCTGGTAAGATCTACTTGAAGCGTCACAACTCCGAGAATACCGAGGTGCTTTGGAAGCAGTTTTCACATGTACAAACTCTTTGCTGTACCATCTTTTCTGTCAGTACAGCTGCTTCTGGAGCCATGTGAGGAAACAGCAAAAAATTGATATTTTTTAATCCAAATCTGTTCATTCTGTAGCTGGGCAGCTAGGGGAAGAAAGGACTTTGCTTGATCAAAGTTTGCTAACAGTACTCTGAAATCCAGGCAGGTGCAGGAGGAATTCTGTGTGTTTTGAACCTTTTGCTTTAGATTTTACTCCCATTTATGCTGCATTTAATCACTAATCCTGTAAAAGCATTACACCTGTTCTTCAGAGCAGCTTCCCCCTTGCTACAGGAGTCTTGATACAACTGTGTTTGTTTTTCCTCTATGTTTGCTTTTGTAAAGGAAACATAAAGGGAATTGGAGCAGAGTGCAGGATATATCTCTTAATTGCATGCATTCATTTAAAAACAGCCCCACAACCAAATCTGTGCCTCAGAATCTTTTGAGTTTCAAAATAGTTTGGTGTTGGGAATTATACGTGAAGTCATCTCTTCTCACTCTTGCTCACATTTTCCTGCCTTTCCAATTAGCACCCTCATGTTCACATTGTTTAAAGAAGATTAGCTTAGGTTTTTGTTCTTTAAATTCTGGTATGTGTCAAAGGTCTTTGGAGCTGAACAGCAAAATAATTGTATATGCAGGAAAACATGAAAAAACTTAAACCACCACTATGAATTCTGAGAACCAAATCCTTCTATTAAAAAAAAAAAAGTACTTGGAAGTCTTGTGTTCTGTTTCCCTGCTTCTACTGGCACCACCTAGTATAATATTTTCCATAAACAGATTGATTTCCATTTTAATAATAGGTTATTTTTTTAAATCCTTCCCAGAATGGCAGCTGCTGGTACATTGCTCCATACTGTCAGTGATTCTGAAGTTTAGCAACTTTCATTAACTCCATTGTAAAGGTATTAATTTGTTCTTAGGCCAGTGTTGTCCTTTGTGTTTGAGTTCTCCTCCTCCATTGTACTCTCCTTCACCCTGATGCACATGTTGCTGTGCATCTGCTCATCTTCATCTGCCCTTTCCATCTGACCCTGGTGGTTTCCCTTGCAGCCCAGACTCTCCTACTCATCTTCCTGTGCCTCTTCAGGCAGGGGTGGGTCACCAGAATCAGATGCTTTATCTCAGCTGAGAGCCTGTGCTCTGCACAGCAGTGCTGGTACTTCTGCATCTCTCTAGGGAATTTCCCATGATCTTATTTTTCCCCTTTTTCAGATTTACCATGTGGATAATATATTAACATCCAGAGATCAGGCAGTTCATCTGCCTCAAGGCTAACTGGAAATTCTTGTTAACCATCTCCAGGTGCATAGCCATGCAGTTTTGTATGTCCAGACTTAACCTGGTTTCTAATATATCACTCTGGATTCTTCTCCAATTCCAGCTCTAGTCCTCTTTGCATTGACAGTTCCTCCTTGAGGTCTGTGTAGTTCAGAAGTGAGTGTGGATTCCTGTCAATTGTAGGATGATACTTAGACAAACTGGAGCAATTTTAACATGTTTTCAAAATGTCTCCCAATATGAAACACAATTCTATTTTAACTTCAGCAAAAAAACCAAACAAAGTGTATCTCTGCAGATGCAGCTGACATTAATCTTAAGTACCCTGCTCAACCCACTAACTGATTTAGTTGCTTAATTACCTGGCAACACAAATGCTTGAGGATCACAGAGTGTTCAAGATTTGATTTTCTATTATATTTCTTTTTTTCTTGCAAAACTATCCCTCTGATAGTGAATTCACTGTGGTGGTAGTGCTGAGCTGGTTTTGAATGGAAAGGTGATAGCAGGGAAAACAGAACATGTGTTTTTGTAGGCACTGAGTGTCCTTCCCTAGTAATCCACATGTTAGTCTGTGGCAGACCCTACTGGTGGTGCTCATGTTTGCCAGTTCCTGATGGTGCCATCATGTACTGTGCATTGGTCTTTCAAAATAAAACAAAGGAGACAGAAAAGTGTCCAAATGTGTTGTACAGCAGCAGAAGCAATTCTCAAAGTGTTTCCATGCTTACCAACTTCAGAGCTGACTTCTAGGGGAAGGGATGGGATTGCAGCCCAGGGTTTCTGTGGTGGCTTTGCTGAAAGGTGTGTGAGAAGATGCTCTGTACTGACCTGTCTCTGCCCCCTAGGTGTGAGAGCCCTGTGCAGGTGGGCAAACTGCAGGACCTCATCAACCGGAGTAAGATGGCCAGGTGTAGAGGACGCTTTGTCTGCCCAGTCATTCTGTACAAGGGGAAGGTAAAGTTTCATGGGTTACTTGTCTTTGTTGAGAAAATGACCTTTCTCTCTGCCATTTGAACTGTGCAGCCATGCCTTCAGTCGCTTGTCACTTTTCCAAATGGTGTAAAAATCTGTGCTTAGGTACAAGCAGGCAGCCTGTAGTAGCAGGTAGCATTTGCTGTCTAGGCTGCATAAGTTGGCATTTCAGGCTCTTCTCCCCCACCAAATCATGAGCCTTGCACCAAAGGGCTAACTTTTTCTTTTCTCCTGTGTACATCCCTTCTGAAATCCTTATGATATTTGCCATTTCAGAGGGGAAAGATAATTATTGTCCCTGTTTGTCCCTTACTCTTCCCAGCAGCTCGCTTTGAGTAACTTTGCTCTCTCCAGAGAAGTTTCCATTGTCTGTTCCCTTGGGAAGCAAGATTGCATAAATGGTCTTATGAATGTGTGGGCTTGTCTGCAAGGGGATCTGTAAGAAAGTGAAATTAGATTCATTTTTATGTGAATTACTTAAACTGTGTTGAAGCCATGTAGGAATAGTCTAATTTAGAATTTAAGTAACTTAATTCAGTTTTCTCAGTTGAATTTAGAAACACTGCATGAATAGCAAAATCATACCTGTGACAATTTTAATCTGGCTTGACTGAAGCCATTGTGGGCTGCATCTGCTGACCTTTTTTGCAGGAGTGAACTGCCCAGAGTCATCTTGGAACCATCCATAATCTCATCCAGAGGAATGTGGAAATAAGGCTCAAGCAGGGTATTAACAGAGCATGTGTTGCTAACTTGGCAGGAACTGACTGTATTAATGCATTGGAGAATTGGAGATGAAAATATAATTTAAAAACTAGCTACAGATAAAGGCACTTGGGAGTTTGCTGTGTTTGGAGAACTCAATCCTGGACCAGGGTTGAAGGGCAGACAGCTGAGAGGTGATAGCTGTAGATACCAAGCCTTCTATGTAACCTGACAGCAAATAGGCATGATAAGGGAAGGACTCCTGGAGCCTGTGTGATTAATAAAAAAATCTTCCTCCAGCATATTTGCAGATCAGCAACACTGGCTGGCTGGGGAGAGCTCTATGGGCGCACTGGCTACAACTACATCTTCTCTGGTGAGTGAGGAGCCATTTGTCACTGCATGGTGAGGCTGGTCAGTCCTGGGACAGAGCTACACATGAGGCCAAGCTCTTCCCAAAACCAGTGGGAGCTCTAGCATGGGCTGCTTGTACCAGGCTTAGCATAACAGAGCAAAGAATAAAACCTCATGTCCATTTCCAAGCACTGTATACAAGACAGTGCCACAGCTCGAAAGAGCCTCAGTGAGGAAAGAGCGTGAGGTTGAAGAGTGAGTTACAGGAAATTTATAGGCAAATAAAGGCATCCCAAAGGATTCAGGGTAGCAATTCCCAAACACTGGGGATGGGAATAATGGAGGAAAGAGGATTAGAACTTGCTGTTGCTTGACTAATCATTGGGAATCAGTGCTGCTAATGGTGAGATATACTGGACTCCAGGGAAAGCTCTTCGGGCAGTAGTGGGTGTCTATGGTGTGGAAGCTGAAGCTTGGCTTAAAAAAGCACTGCATACCATTTTTGAGGTGTCCTCTGGCTGTCAGTCATGGGTTTGACCTGCCCAGGTACTTTGCAATGACAAGGAGTGTGGGCTACATTAGAAAACAACATTTTCAGGAAGAGGAATTATGGGGAACCACACTTAGGTGTGAAGAGAAGGCATTAAGCCATGACCTTTTTGTTTGTACACACATCTTGTTGGATTGGGGATCCAGTTGGTTCACAAAACCTTCACTTCTTAATGCCTTTGTTGCAGGAGGTTCTGATGATGCTTGGGCAGATGCAGAAGACATTTCTGAAGAAGACTCTGCATTTAGGTTTGTATGAATGTTTGGGGTGAGGAAAAGGGAGTTTGCTGACTGGCTCAGCCATTCATTTCTGCTCTTTCCTAGTTTGGGTTTTGGGCAGAGGCTTGAGACCCATCAGCAGGCTCAGGGTTTTACTTTCCTTGCTTTTGGAAAAGTGTCTTGAGTATTAATGGCTGGCCGAAGCTTGCTAATTTATTTTCAGAGGAAGAGCCAGACACAGGAATATGTAGAGCCATTAGAAACGCATTTGAAGGGCGTGGCTGTGTTTACTTCACCTAAAAGTACATCTGCAGGCTGTAGAAATTGTGTTGTATCTTATGTGTTTGTTGCAGAACAGAGTGAGATGTGGGAAGGGACCATGAGCACAAAGCTTGCAGTGTCAGTTTGCAGAGTCTGACTTGGCTCATGCTCTGCTGCTTATGGCTGGAAGTGTTCAGGGAAGAACTGTGGCTTATCTGGGAAGAATCAGACTCACCTTGGTCAGTCTTCCATGCTCACCTTGCTTGCCTTATTCTGTCTTGCAGAAATGCAGACTCCCAGCTGTTTGACAAGGTCAGAGGGCACGACATCAAGCTGCTTCGATACCTGTCTGTCCGATACATCTGTGACCTGATGGTGGAAAACAAGAAGGTGAAATTTGGCTTGAAGTGAGTCTGGGTTCTTTTGCTTTTGTGCAGGCTTTGGTTTGCAGCTAGTGTAGCCCTTACCTGTGAATTTACTGTCAGGTGTGGACTCAGCATCCTGGGAGCAGTCCTTGGAAGAATTCTGCAGCAGAATACAATTGATGCTGTAAAGAAAACCCCAAGGTTTTAGGGCACAGAAAACTGTATCAATGGGCAACATAGCTGCTTTCATCTGTCTTCTGCAGTCTGAGTGGCCTTTTCCCTGTAGATCTTGTAGTAATGAGACAGTCACCCCTTCAGAAGGGAGACAGCAATGGAGCCCTCTGTGCATAGGAACAGAGGGAGCTGTTTCTCCCACTTATCTTAGAGAAAAGCCTTAGTGATTTTGGGCTGTACCTATTTATGTGGATGTGTTGAGTAAGTTCTGCCCCTGCTTGCAGCTGAGTCAAGTCACAGCCCAGGGAGGTGCAACAGGTAGATTTTTGGGTGCTGGTGTCTGTGCAAAAAACACTCTGTAAATATCTGCTGTTCTCCTTTTGTCCTGTGCAGTGTGACCTCTTCTGAGAAGGTGGACAAAGCTCAACGTTATGCTGATTTCACACTTCTCTCCATCCCCTATCCAGGTACAGGAATGATGTCCAGAGGGATTCACAAGGGACAGGTGACAGTCGGTTTCTGGGCACTGGGAAATAACTCTGGGTGTGTATATGTAAATGACCATGACTTGCTGAATGTTTCCTATGTTCGTTCTAGAGAAAAACTCCTTTAAGCTGAGAACAGTGCAATGAACTGGATGCTCTGGCAGTGAGTCAGCATTAGGCACTCTTTGAGGTGGCAAAATAATTTCCCAGCAGTCCTTATTAATTCAAGCACGGAGGAAAAGTCCCAGAGGTGGAGCTGGTTAAGATGGCCTTTGACATCTCTGCAACTCTAAACTACTGCTTGATGCAAAATACATTTCTTGTTCTTTGTTATGTAAAGACCCAATTCTTAAGGGTAATTTCTAGTCTGGTGTTCCAGAGCTCCACTGTAAGAAATCCTCAGTGCTTGCAGAAGAGTTCACCTGAGCCTGCAGTGTTCAACAGAGGCAGCCCTTTGCAGCCTGTCTCCTTGGCTATATCCATCCCTGTGCCTAGCAACCACTGCTAGGTCCCACTGCTGGGTCACTCACTCTTACTGATGAACTGAATATTCTGCTGCCTGCTGATGTCAGGCTTGGCGACAGGATCAGATGGGAGGCTGCTGTGCTGAGGTCTGTCTGCAGACTCTTCTTTCTCCCTAATGCACAAAGAAAGGGAGAGGAGAAAAAAACAAAACCAGCAAAACTCTGGTGGATGATCCAGACCCAGACTTCCATGATTGCTAGTTATTGCTCTTAAAGATTTTTTGAAGGTATATTTCCTTTTATACAGAAATTAGTGACAATTCATAGAAGCTGCATGAAGATTTTTATCAAGTTTGCCATGCAGGTTGCCAAGTATACAGAAATAAGAGTATTACTTCTTTCTGTAGTAGGTAGCACGGATACATGTTGCTGCTGCACACATCACCAGACTTGGAACATGACAAAGACTGTGTACACAGGTCTTATGTAGGGCTGTAAGGAATGAAGAAGTGACTCTATAGAGTTAAGGTGCAGAGTTGTTTCTGTATGGGGATCTGCATATGGTAAGCAATATTATTCAGTGATGGTCCTTCCTCTTCTGCCCTCTGGGACAGCTGCTTTCTTTTAGCAGCTCTTCACTGCCACACTAGAGATAAACCTTATAAAACTGCAAATACTCCCTGCAGATGTTGCCTGATTTCAGCGGAGCTGGTCCATGGGGGAATGTTGTCATTCTGTTAAATCTAAGGCATACACATCTAAGGATCAGCAACCCCTCTAGTGACTGGCCAAATGCTGTGATACATTCTTATTGATGTTTCCAGGGTTGCACTGAAAATTTCTGTTTTGTAATTTGTTTCTGAAGTTATTCTGAGATCCTTTTGCCTTAGGTGAGCAAGGCAGTGTCCAAACAGAGTCATAGAATTGTTGTGGTTGGAAAAGACCTTTAAGACAATTGAGTCCAGTTGTTAACTCAGTGCTGCCCAGTCCCCACTAAGCCATGTCCCTGAGTGCCACATCTACCTGTCTTTTAAATACCTCCAGGGCTGGTGACTCCACTCCTTGCAGAGGGTGCACTTGATCCCCTCATCCAGGTCATCAGTTAATGTATTAAACAGGCCCCAATACTGAACCCTGGGGAACACCACAAAACCTGGGGATCAGATAGCAACTGGATTTAACTCTGTTCACCACCACTCTTTGGGCTCAGCCATCCAGACAGATTTTACCAAGTGAAGAGTGAGAACTGTCTGGAGTGAAAGACTTGAGTTAAAATGGGGTGTCTCTAGAAGCTTTTGGTATTTGTGGATGCCAACACTTATGCCATAATCCCCCATTCTTTGCACAAAGTCATTGTTTAATTGGAGTTAAATCTCAACTGACAGACTGTGTCCTGACTGCCTATTTGAGGATTAGTCCTATCCTTGCACAAATTCTTCCCTTAATTTTTTTTCCATTGAATTTACTTGTGACTTGCAGGGTGGGAATCTCTCTCCATATCTGTGCCTGCCACAGGGGTGTCTGGGTGCTGTGGGCTCCGTGGCACTGCTGAGGTGTGCACAGCACGCTGGCAGAGGTGTTTTCTGTCGCCTGCAGGCAGCTGCAGTGCTAATGGTGCTGCTCAGCTGTGACTAAGTGACTGCGGCTTGCAGCAGAGACTTCAAATGGTTGTTTGAGAAGAGCTGAGCCAAAGGACGCACTTCAGGAGGGGAGGGCTTGGGGGACAGCTTGGAAGTGGTTATGTACCTCCTTCCTTCAGATAGGGTAAATCCCATGTTGGAAAGAGAAGACTTAAGTGTGAGAGAAATCAAGGCCCCTCTGACAGAGCCCTTTCTTGTTCCCTGCAGCAGATGCCCTGTGAAAATTGGCTTTCCCCAGGGCTCTGCCAGCACCTTCTTTTGGTGACTCCTTCTCACTCAGCATGTCAAGCTGATGCCTTAGATCTGTGCAAAAGTCCAAGGCCCTGCAAAACAAAGCACCTTGCTGAAACCTTTTGTTCAGGAAAAAATTAAATCAGTCCCTCAAGCTCCCCATTTGCTGTAGTTGGAGTTTGCCCTTTGCTGTGTGAGTGTCTGTACTGCTGAGTGCCCTGGGCTGTTGTTGCTGGAGGCCGTGCTGCACAGTGTACTGAGGATTACTGCTCTTCCCTTCCCACAGGCAGCAGTTTTGATTGGTTTGGATTTCTGGAGCCTGGGGCTGCCAGCACTCCTAGTCCCACGGGCACTTCACTAGTTAGATACCAGTTAGCTGAATCGTTGTTCATTCTCTCTTTTTCTTGCAGGCTGTGAATTTTTTAAGGACTACAAAGACCGGGATTATACAGCTGAAGGTCTCATATTTAACTGGAAACAGGTACATGGATGTTACAAAATGGAGAGCTGTGTGTTTTACTGGGTTTAAGTCTTGCCTCCCAGTTCCTCAGTGATGCTCTGTATGTCATGTGCCTATTTCTAATCACAAGGAGATATAAGAGATACAGAATGTACTAAATTACTGATTGTAAAATTAATATGTAAGATAAATTAATTATTATCCTGAAGTCTAGGATGCTTGACCTCTCACGGAAGGTATGAGTTGCTCCCAGTTTTGAATTCTGACCTTACTGATAGTCTTGGTTCTCAGTTCTTTCTTCATATTTTGTCTCCTGCTCAGGGGATGGTTGAGTGGGGCAGTCTTATAGAAATGCAGAGACTAATATGCCCAGCTTTCACTCTTGGGAGCACATAAAAGCTCCTCTGTCCTCTGGTCCATTAGTCGTTCCAAGAGTCTGAGTTTATTCTTACCTCTTCAGGACTTTGCATCCAAAGATGCTTTGCTGAGTTGTTTTCTTCTCATGCACCATTTGGCATTTGTTGTCTTGGTTTTTTTTTTTTTTTCTGGAACTCAGTCCCTTTGAGTCGTGACTTTTCTCTGACCAACTGTGTCTGGGTTTTTTACAGGACTATGTAGATGCTCCATTAAATATCCCAGTCTCTCTGACCCAGTCTCTGAATATTGATTGGAGCGAGTACCAGGTGAGCAAAGTGGATGTCGCTGTGGGAGGTCAGGGATGCATTCAGGAAGGATCAGGAGAGGTTTGAAATCTGACTTGCTCCTATTGCTGTAATCTGGCTCACTTCATAGCATCCCAGTGGGGGCAAGGCTGCTTGACAGAACAGCAGTGGAAATCCTGTACCCAAAAGCTCTGTGGCTTGCTGTGCCCCAAGGCAGCTGACTGTAAAGTCAAACCTTTTTTTGTAGCTTTCAAAAATTTGCAATCCATTAGGGAGATAGGTTGTTAACAAAGGTAAGGCACAAGACAGGAAACAAAGCAGTATTACCTGTTCTCAGTCTCAGCTCAACATGGGCCTGCCCTGGGCAGACTGCCTTGGCTGTGGGAAGTCTTGAGAGAGACTCCTCTGTGGGCAGAGCCAAGGGCACCTTCTTCATGGGCATGCAAGGTGCCTTCCTATGGGAGAGGAGCAGATAATCATAAGTGGCCATGGCAGTTCTCCACTCTGTACTATGGACAGCGTGGCAAACAGTAATTGAACTCTTCTGTTTGCTCAAGCTTCAAAGTCTACCTTTGTTCACAACAGGGAGTATCACCTTATACTACTGATTAGTATGCTCAATTTCACACATCAGTGGATCTACCAGGTTTTGTGGGGATTGACTGTGCTGGAGCATGTCACATTATTGTGCCCTGTGGCTGGAAGCACCAGAGAACCAGCAGAGCTCCCTGTGCTGGGCCACTGTTTGTTGTCAGTGATGCAAATACTGTTTAAGTGCCAGCATAAGCAGAATCACAGAAAAGTTGAAGCAGAACTAATAGAAGTAGAGCTTGTGTTTGGCTAGAAACTTATTCACTAGAATACTGAGCAGCCCGTATTTTAAAAAGGATATTAAAAATTGAAGAGGGTGTAATAAATAGATGCAGAAATTATTTGAGGCCTGGAGAACATGCTTCACTCAAAACTGAAGTTCTCAGTCTGTTTAGCTAATCACTAAGGTGATTAATGTGTAAGTACATTTTTAGGGAGAAAATAGTAATTCTAAAGCACTCTTCAATCTGGGGAAGAGGAGCTGCACAGGAAGCAATATCTGCATCTAAAATCAAGCCTTCAGATAAGGACAAGCAGTCTTGCACATTACTTTTGAGGATAATCTGCTGGAACATGCTGCCAAAGGAGTAATGAGCTGTCACCCCTATTTGAGATGCTTCTCTGGGCAAAGATGTTGCCATGTGCAAGCCTCAGGCTTTACGTGGGGCAACTGAAGAAAACTTTTTGGTTCATGATACAGAGAGATCAGACTGGATAATTGGATGATGCCTTCTAAAATAAGCAGAAGATGGATTGAATTGGGCAGATAAAAGATTTTGTAATTATGTGTTTTTCTGCTGCAGGCTGACTGTGTTCCCCGTTTTCCTAATGTTTTGTGGCTCTGCAGGCTCCATGGCTGAGCAATATGCTCTGTGTCTGACTCTGGTCTTCAGTGTGGTTACACACAGATGTGCACACATGCAGGCACTCAGCAAGGGTTCTGTTGCTTGTGGTCTCATGTCACTTGCACCACTAACACTTCTGCCATGAAATGTGTCCCACTCTGCTTTTTCCTTGCCAGTGCTATCTTATTTCCCTTGAGCTAGTCCTGATTCTGATCAAACCACTGAATTTCCCTGCATCTGCTTGTGACATGATGGTCAAGTGACGAGCTTGGGCTTGTTCTGATGTTCTTCACCTGCATGTCCTGTAGTACTGCAGGTCTCTTGAGTTCAGAGCCCTTCTGTAGTTCTGCTGCTACTTGGGGGTTACTGAAGAAGCCCAGTGCCTGTCTGGAGGGTGGGTGAGGGTCAGCAGCCAGCTGGGGACATTTTCAAGGACCACAGAGTTTTGAGCAAAGTGCTTGGGTTGTGGGAACAGCCCTCTGGCCTTGGCCTGCTCATCCCATTGTGCTGCTGGTGTTGCACACGTGGCTGGAATGTGGCTCAGCCACTTGGAAAAGTGCACGTGTGCAGAACTGGGCCAGTGCTCTGCAGGTGTTTGCTGCCTCTCTGAGCAGGGGCTGCTTGCAGCTTTGGGGCTGTAGGCAAAGCAGCTCCTCTGCCAGCCAGGAAGACAGGAGAGATGCCCTTTTATTGTTTTGTTTGTCTACCTGTTATCTTGTCCCAGAGTGTCTTTTGCAGAGAATGGGGAGATTGATACAAAGGGAAAGTCTGTCACTTTGAGGAATGGCCATGTGGTTATTTCTGCTTTGCTGCTGTTCTGGATAGAGCAGCTCTGAACTGCAGAGCAGCCTTTGGCTGTGACCCTCACCATCACCATTCCTCTTCCTGCAGAGCTGGGACCTCGTACAGCAGACACAGAACTACCTGAAGCTGCTGATCTCCATTATCAATAGTGATGGTAAGGCAAACTCCTTGCTCCCAGCAGTGTAAGTGGAGCAGCCACTGTCCCTGAAGAACAGCTGATGGTATCAGTGCCACTGTGGATCAACCCCCAGTACAGAAGTCACTTTTAATTCAAAACAGGGTGATGGTCCTGCCATCTCGGAACTCCATCTTCCCTCTTAGAGAGGGACTTGCTGATTCCTTGAAAACCTTTTCCTCCTGAATATGAAGGGATATCTGAAAACTTAGCCTATTGTTTTAGTACTTTAAACCAGAAGAGAAGGAACCTTGTGTCTTTGCTTTTTGACTCTTGTTTTGCTGGTTACCTGTGTTTTGTCTCACCAATACAGGATCTCATTTGGTGCCTGTTTAAGAGCCCCTTCCACCCCCTTTCACCATGGACACTCCACCTCTTTGAGGAGTGTCTCTTGCGCTGTGTGGCATCCCATTCCCTCTGGGCACTGTGGCCTAGCGCTGATGGATGGAGCCATGGCTGGCTCTGACAACATGGCCAGCTATAGTCTCCTGCAGTAGCTGTGTTGGGACACACTGCAGGTTTTCTGTGGGGTGTAGGCTTTGTGCCTTGTGTGTGCCTCTGCTCATTGTGCAGTAAGAAAAGTAGTGAGACTGAAAAAAATGTTCAGTTGGAGTTGTTTTCTCACCAGTGTAGGAATAGATTGTGATAGTGGGTTACAGCTGGGGAGGTGTATGCTCAGGGTAGTAAAGTGATGTTCATACCTAATGACTCTGTGTCCTGAGCAGCTGTCAGGGCCAGGACAGCGCATCAGCTGGTGCTGCTGACAGCCCAGGACACTCTCAGCAATTGGCTGGCTGCTGGATTTAAGACACAATGTTCTGGCTGAGCTCTGCTCTTGAGCCTGGTCTGTGGGTACAGAGAGTAGCTTGTCTCTACAGATTTGCCATAAAGAAATCATTCCTGCAACATCCTTTTTTTCCCTTCTTCCTGCCCCTGGAGCAGATGACAGCGGGCTCCTGGTGCACTGTATATCCGGCTGGGACCGAACGCCTCTCTTCATCTCCTTACTGCGCCTCTCCTTGTGGGCTGTGAGTACCTGGCTGCCTCCTCTGTTTCTGGGCCTGATTGCTTGGAGGGTGAGTGGCTGTCACCAGGCAGTGGTGGTGGAGCTGTTAATGTTCCTTCAGACGTGCTGTCACAGGCAGGTAGAGGAAGATGGGCACTCTGGATCACCATGACAATTTTCAGCAGATCATGAATTCCCAAGTTCTGGTCCCCAGGGCTGCTGCCTGAAGGCTTTGTTTGCTTTGCAGGATGGGCTGATCCACTCGTCCCTGGATCCATCTGAGATTCTCTACCTGACAGTGGCCTATGACTGGTTTCTCTTTGGGTAGGCATGATAAGTTTTACTCACATGTGCATCCCTGTGCAGTGGGGGAGAAACCTTGAGGAGTCATTTTATGTTTGTTCACAGCCAAAAGTTGATGTTTGAGCAAGTCTCAATGAGCTGGGACAAGAAGGGCTGATGCCTTTTTTTCTACCTGAGCTCAGGCATCTGGCTGTTCTTGACAGCTTGTGCTCTTGTGTGATTCTGGCATGTGACTGAGCTTCCCTTGCTCTCTTTCAGGCACATGTTAGTCGATCGACTCAGTAAAGGAGAAGAGGTGAGTGTTGGTCTGGGGCAGTGGCTGAGCACTGCTTTGTGTTCTCAGGATAGGTTTTTGTGGTAGCAGCATTCACTGCCTACTCCTGGTAGTATCAGTGGTGTGGCTGGGCTCTAAAAAGATTGTTCAGGTGCTGGAAATACAAGGTAAGAGCCTTGCCCTGTCACTTTGTGATGCATAAGTTGTGGGGTTACTTCTCTCTCAGGCTACAGTTTTGTTGGGGGGTATCACTCCTGCCAGTTTCTCTCCTGTGCCATTAGTGTTCAGGCCCCACACCAAAGGGTGCTAGGACTTGCTGTTCAGCTCAGCAGTGAGAAGAATGCTAAGGTGTGTGGCTCCTTGAAAATAAAGCTGGATAGTCTTGTGTGCTTGTCCTGAGAGCCAGCCCTCCTGCCTGGGTGCTGCAGCTGCATGTGGCTTGCATGTCATCACAGGCTCGTGGAGCAGCTTGTGCTGGTTCTGGTGTGTGGGTTTGGTGGGATGTGTCTGTGGGTGCACATGTGGGCCTGGAGGACACTAAAAATTAGTGGAAGGAATTCTCTTCAAAATCTTTTGCTGTTGAACAACAAGAAAAGATTGCTCTGACTATAGTTGCAGTATAGTGCGCTATCATTTCTGAGTAGAAAAGAAATGGGGTGTTTGTCTAACCCTGTTGCTATTCCCTTGCTCCTTGAACTCTCACCTTACGAAGGAATCTTCTGCCTTCAAACAGCAGAGACACAACTTTGGCCTATTTTCCATCTTTCAGGGCTACAGAATCCCCTGAAAGAGTCAGTATCATTCCTCCTATTCTTTCCTTTTCTGGAGTTCTGCTGGCTCAAGCCTGAGAGCTCTGCTCTGGTGCCTGCTTGGTCATGTGTGGAGTCAATATCTGCAGCAGGAGAGGGGGTGCCTGGCTGCCTCTGGCACTGCCTGCTCCCCACTTCTCCCAGGAGAAGGGCACAGCTCTGCAGGGGTGGGTGAGGTGGCAGAGGCACAGTGGGGTGAGTGATGCAGAGCAGGCTGGGGTGTGGCAGGGCACGAGCTTGGGGCCACAAATGCTGTGGTACCTCGTGCTTCCAGAGGTGGTACTGGTCTGCTGCTGAGGTGGAGCATGTGGCTCTAACCGTGCAAGTCCTGCTGGGTTTGCTGCTCTCCTGGGTGTATAAGCAGCTGCTGCCATCTCTGTCCATTCTGCACTGATGGCATAAGTACCTGCTGTGGGCTTGCAGCATGTGTGCAAGGCACTGATAAGGAGACTTCTTGTTCCCTTTCCTTTCTGGGCCTCCCCGTGGCAGGGAGCAGAGGGGCAGGTTACATGGAAGAGAAGGCCCAGGATGGGATGGTGGCAGCCCGTGGCACACTGGAGGCTGGTAGCTGCAGATTTTTTGCTATCTCCTTCCTGCCAGCACCTCCTCATCAAGATAAGAGGCTGCATGGAGCCTCGGGTTCATTCCTGAACCGCTTTTCTCTTTCCCTTTGCTCAGATTTTCTTTTTCTGCTTCAATTTTCTGAAGCACATCACCTCTGAGGAGTTCTCTGCTCTGAAGTCACAGAGGTAAGGAGCCTGTGCTTGCTGCTGCATGGGCTACAGAGCCAGGGAGCTTGTTAGTGCTGCTTCTTTGGGGAGATGGAAGCCCTGGTGTCCTGGCCCAGTTTTCTTTAATTTATTCTGCACTCTGAAGGCTGCAAAACGGGGCCGAGGCTTTTGAGATGCCACGTTGTGCTCTGAAAAACTGTCCATGCTGAAATGTGCTCTCTGCCTAATGACTGTCCATGGCTGCTTTAGCACAGGTGAGCCCAGAGGTGTGTGCTCTGGCTCAAGCAGGCTGCACAGCAAGCTCCATCAGGCACTGGTGGGCACAGAGGGGTGGCTGGTTTGTAACAGACTGCCCAGAATCAAACCTTCTTATTTCAGGAGGGACAGAAATAAGCAAAGCCCACCCTGGATGCTCTGAATAAGCACATCATGTGCAGTGTTGCCTGTTGCCACCTTCTCACAGCATAGGGAGTTTGGGTTGGGACTGTTAGGAGTCAGACAATGCACACTGGCCCATCCTCTTCCCTCTGCCCCTACATAGCTAATTCCCCACTACTCTGATCTGCTGTGTGTGACAGAGACCTGGCTATGGCCAGCCTGCCCTGGAGTGTGCCTGAGGTAACTTTGTCTTTCCATCCCCAGAAGGAAGAGTTTGCCACCTGGCTTCACCCTGGAAGAGATCTGCATGCTCAGTGAGTGTCAAGCATCAGTGCCCCTGGGTGCTGCTGATGGTTCATTGTTTGTGGGCTTGGGTTTTCAGCTTCAGGATGACCCCAAATGGGTGTGCTGCCTGTGGGGCCTTGCCAGAACACAGGGAAGTGTATTGCTGAAAGGGAGAGAAAGTGAATGAAACCAAGCTGGTCTTCAGGTAGCTCTGTTTGCTTCTCTCTAGAGCAGAAAGACCGAGGCAGCACCACAAGCCTGAGCAGTGACTTCTCCCTGGGGTTGGAAAGTTCCCCTGGAGCAGCTGGGAGCTTTACCTATGAAGCAGTGGAGCTGATGCCAGCAGGAGCACAGGCTCAAGCAGCTTGGTGAGGAGAAAACCATTTGGTGGGCTGAACAGAAGGCGCTGGCTCTGGGCCTGATGGAAAACATATTTATGAAGTGTCTTGCCCTCCAGCTTTGCTCTCTCTAGCATGGATTCCTTACAGTGGGGGGAGGAATTTGGCTGTCAGAAGCTTTGCTGCAATTTGTACTCCAGAGCTTCTGCATCAAAAGTTGGAGGCCACCCCATGTTAAAAGGCTGCCAGGGTTCTGCAGGGATGCTCCAAAGTTTGTGCATGGATGAGAGTAAAGCACATTTGTTTCATTTTCACCAATTTCACTGTTAAACTTCATCCACAAAGGATTTCATTACTTTTAAAAGATTGTTCCAAACTAGCAGAAAAATTACATTTCACAGCAGCCTCCCCAGGGAAAAGTGGAGATGGTTTAGCTGCCCTAAAATGAAGCTTAATCAGAGTTTAGGAAAGACATTATACACAGGGAGTGTCTGCAGTTAGTGGGAGATGGGCTGGGTGGCCAAGAATTCCCTCTGAATTTTAGCCCCTCTACCAGCATGAGGTGTGTGTGCTGAAAGCAGGTTGCTGCCTGCAGCACTGCTTAGAGACATTTCCAGGGGAGAACACAGAATTTTCAGTACTGCCTCTTGATAGAGGGTCACAGAGGACTTGTCTGGGGATGCAGGTGGCTGTCTGGAAGAGGAGAAGGTGTCTGGCAACTCTGCTGCTCTGGGACAGGTTTTGGACTTGCTTGTGGAGTTTCTGGTGCTGTTTGGGGATTTCAGAGCCTTGCTGTAGGGTTGCCCCTCTCAGTTTAATTTTTGTCTTCTCTCCCTCAGCACATGTGAAGATGCTATTTTATATTGCAATTATTTTAAATTAAATCTGGGTTGTGCTGGAGGCATTTGAAATCCTCTGAGACTGAGCTTGCAGCCATGCTCGTGGCAGCAGCCTTTCTAAAGCACATTGTATGTTCAGTCTAAAGTGCTGAGAAGGGAAAGGAGAATATCCCTGCAGAATCACAAAATGGAGATGGAGTGTCCCAAACTCTTTGCCAAGTGAGCAACACAGAGTCCTCTTAACACACAGAGCCTGCCTATCCACATCAAAGTGACTGCATAGAGTAGAGAACAATTTTCCACTTGCAGGGCTGCAGGGTAGTGAGCTGGAAGCATTTGTGTTGCTCTGAGTGCTCAGGACATACAGGCTGGATTCTGCTGCACAGAACCTGTGTGTACTTTTTACAAGATGTGAAGTGACCAGAGCATGCTGGAGGAGATGCACTTGTGTGGATCAGGGCTTGATTTTGCAATGTGCTTCCTAACTCTGGGTTGCTCTTATTTCTGTGGGAGACCTCAGGCTGTGATGGGGCCAGCAGCTGCTCTGCAGGGATGGTGTGGGCCATGCTGGGGGGCATGAGCTTGGGAAAGGGGAAGGTTGTGAGCAATGCCATGAGTGCTCAGTGAGAAGATTGGTCACGGGTGTTTTACTGCAGGCTGTTGTGGCTCTGTAGTCTGGAGAATACATAGGGCTTGCTACAAGCTGGTGAGCTGTGCTCTGCATAGCATGAGGGGCTGTACTTTGTTGTGTTGCCCTGAAAACAGGTGGCCTCACAGTCTCTGTGCAGGGAGAGGCATTTGATTTTTAGCTGTTCAGACCTGTTTCTGCAGGCTGTACTTGGAGATGTTGGCAGCTATGATAACATGAGATGAATAAAGCTTAAGAGAGGCTGTGGTGTGATGTTTGAGGGTGGACACCCTTCAAAAAATGAAGGGAGGATATCGCACTTTCCACTGTACAATGAGCCTGTCTTTAGCTGCACTTGCTGACAGTGCTTGAGATCTCAAAGCTGAGATCCCCTTCCATGTTTTAGGAAGAGTTCCCCTAGAGTTTATTAGCTTTAGAATTTTTCTTTTTTACTTTTGTATGTAGAGAGTCTTTGTCCAGTTCTGTGTGGTCTTGGAAGGGGAGAAATTCTTGGGACTCTTCCAGGGGGAAAAAAAACCAACAAACTGTAAGAAGGAAAATCTTTGGAATGTGGAGCAGCAGTGATATGAATTAGTCCCAGATGTGTACTTGTTTGGCATGTAGTTGGACGGTACTGTGAGCTAAGGCCTGATGCAGCAATGGACAGTGAATCATGACTGAGTCTGAATGTGCTGGCTAGGAAAGAAGCCAGAGCAGTTTGGGCTGTCAGCATAGACAGAGAAAGAACTGAAGTGTACCTACCTCTAGAGTGAGTGTCAGCTGTAAGCACATGGTCAGAAGTGTGGTCAGAGGTGCCCAAAGGGAATTGCTGAAAGGGAAAATAACACTGTGGTGTGTCCCTGTCGCCCTCGGTGCGCACGAACGCCCACCTGGGCTGACACTGAGGAGCTGGAGCAGATTGAAATGGTCTTTCCCCGCTGGGAGGCCCCTTGCTCAAGGCATTTTTGCTGCTAGACTAAACAAAGCAATCGCTGTGTGTGTGTGGGCTGATGCATTCTCCCATCTCTGATTTGCAGGTCACGTGGATGGTGATCTATAAAAGAATGGGCTGAGATGGGCTGAGCTCAGTGTACCCCCTCGCTGAGCCCTTTCCGTGACTCGTGGCTCTTTGGGAGGGAGGAGGGCGGGTTCAGTGGAAACAAGAGCTTGTAGCTGCTGGGCTAAACTCCAGCCTGTGGTGGAAAGGCTTCCTAGTTGGAGTACATAGAAAAGTCAGCTTTCTTACCCACGTCCTCTATCCCTCAGGAGGAAGAGCTGTGCATCGTCACCACAAGCCGTGCTCTGGAGCAGAGCACAGCAGTCTGAAGACAGGCTGCCTTCCACAGGGATGGGTGAAGTCAAGTCCTCCAGCTCCTCCTCATCAGCCCATTCTGATAACTTCCTGAGGATTGGAAGCAGCCCACTAGAAGTGCCCAGATCCAGGTGAGGTGGGAGCAGGGCATTTCTCAGCAAAATGAGTGTCTGGTAAAGGGAGCTCAGGGCTGCACTTCTATGGCTCTGGAAACACTGGAGCACCTGTGTTTGTTTCTACAGACAAACAAACCTCGGGAGGCCTGTTCCTCTCTAGTCTGACCTTATCTGAAGTGCTGGCCCTTGAACACAGACACTCCTGCCTGAGCCCCTAGAGGAGCAAGGAGCTGTGCTGATAACAGCCAGCTGTCATATGCCTGTCCTCAGCGCATGCCTCAACTCTGAGCTCTGGCATCTCTGCATCCTGCATGCTCGCAGCTCACAGCACTTTCTCTGTCTAACACATCCACCAGGGTTTGAAATGGCTGTGGTGTTTGGGGAAGGAAGCTTTTCAAACCAAGCAGACCTCACTCTGCATCTATTCTGTCCCCCTTTTCACCTGCTGACCCTCCTGATGGCACAGGTTGGAAAAAGCTGGGTGCTGGTGACAAGCAGAGGTAGGAATCTGCTGGGAGCAAGCTTCGAGCACTGTGCCAGCACAAAGGAGTTCTGCCCTGAAGGCTGAGTGTTCCTGCTGGGGAATGGGGACCCTGGAGCTGAGCCTAATCTCACACCATAACAAAGGCACCCTTCTGGAGTCTGACACTGCGATAGGGCAGCGCCGAGCCGCGAGCTGGCCTGGGGAAGAAAGAGCAGAGCCTGTGGAGCAAACACTGTGTGTTCAGGCCAACATGGAATAAAGAGACCCTGAGATAAGAGGTTGCTAACAGCGTCATATGCTCGTGTAGCCTCTGCAGGCTTTCTGATGAGTCTTTTTGTAGTGATTCTGAATCAGCCACCAGCCAAATCTGAGTAGTCTCTCATCATATGGAAAATAAAATAACAAACAAGCAAAGCTTTGAAAATTTATAAGACTTTCTTAACAAGTGTCTCACGATTCCAGAGAAAAACCCCAGTGTCTGACAGTTTTCATAAATGAGGGTAACTGTTCTCCCCAGGGAGAGATATCAATAGGAGGGGTTGGAATTGTTGCTGGGGCCCACCTCTGCATTTTCTGTAAGATGGAAAGAATCTCCTGAGAAGAGAAGAAAATACTGGAAAGAAAACAGCTTGTCTTGGGAGCTGCTTTGTTCACAATGGTAGTGCCACAATTCCTGTGTGTGGTCCCATGCCATTCCCAAGGTCTGACAGGCTTTCAGTGCTTGCTGGTAGCAAGCTTGCAGCCGTGCTCAGGAAGAAGCAGTTTGTAATGCTTCAGCCAGACTGCTCTGCAAGAGCAAAGAGAGAAACAGGAGTAGGTGGAAGAGCACCATAGTGAGGGTTAGGGTTGCCTTATCAGGCACTGTCATGGGTTGCAGTCTCTGGATTCTAAGCATGGTATGTTTTCTCCTGAAAGAGGTTCTGTCATTCCACTTGGCCTTTGATCTCCCTGCTTCAGCTGTGATAGTCTGAATTGCTCTGGTAGATAGCACAGTACCTTCAGCCACCATTTTCTACCCCGAAGGAAACAGCAGGTCCCATTTTAGGTGGATGACTGTGACGGAAGGAAGAGGTAATTTCTGTCTCTTCACCTCCTGAAAAATTGTGGTACTAAGATGGAAAAGCAGGAGCACAGAGAGTGATCAGGATGCCAGAAATACCTTTATTCCTGCAGTGCTGCTGGCAGGTCAACACCTAAGGCTCTTGAGATGAAGAAACCACTATACTTGACTTCCTAATCCTCTGCGTGGCCATAGCAACAAAACACTTTCCTCAACTTCTGCTGCAGTGGTTGAAATGGTTGCTTGTAAAATGCCAGCAGGTGTCCTTCAGGTAGTTCAGGTCAACAGCCCAGTCCAGGTGCTGGCAGGCAGGGGGGCTCTGGAGGGAGCAAAAAGGCAAGTCAGAAGGAGACATGGGCATGGCCTGGGAGGGGGGAACTGGACTGCCCTAAAAGAAGGGATCACAAATGCTCAGTCAGATATCAGGAGCCAAGCACCTCTCCTGGCCAGGCAATGTCAACAGGCTGCTGCTGTCACATTACCAGCTCATCTTGTGAATCTTGCTCTGATCCAGAGATCCTGAGTAAATTCCAGGATGATTGTCGTTAGGCAAAGCAGTACAAAGGCAATTCCTATCAGTCTTTCTGGCTTATTTCAACATGATGGTAAGATCACATCTGCAGAAGACAAACACACAGGAAGATATTACATAGACTATTTGCAGAGTGGAACAAGGTGCTGCTTGTTCTACAGAGAGCTCTGAGTATGGCAGAGTGCCTCAGAATGAACCCCCTGCATGCAGTGGGGTTGCAGTTTGCATTTGACACCAGCAGTCTAAGCATCCCATGACACTGCAGAAAAATTCTGTATCTGTGTCAGGGATTTAGTGTGTGTCTACATAGCACTAATGTGGATTAGCAGCTGGATAATCTTTGGTTGAATGTGCTTTTGCTAAGTCAATTAAACAAAACCCAAAGTACTATGATCTAGAGAGTCGAGATCTGGAGGAGTTAAATTGCAGAGGATCTGCTTTGACCAGCAGTCACAGAGAATTCCCTTACTTAAGGGCTGCAGATAGCTGAGCTGTGGTGGCTCTGGAGGGAGCACAGTGGGACAGAGGAGCTGCTGCCCCTTGGCTTTGGGTGTTTTGTTGGTAGTGAGAAGAGTGTGTGTGCACTGTGTGTCTTGCTCCTTACAGCCACCTCACTCAGAAGGTGTATATGCAGTGTGACAGCTTGGGGTAGTGACCACAGCAGGAGAGGAATTGTTTACAGGAATGTTTTCTGGAATTACTGCACGACCGTGCCACAAAATGGGCTTGCTGGCTGGCACATGACTATGTGCTGCAATCAGAAATGGTGCTTACAGAGAACAGGCTGCTGGGGCACTATCCCAGCCTATAGATAACTGTCTGGGATTCAGCCAGGATTTGCAGTGCTTGGCAGGGTGCCATACTCCTTGCCAATATTGCCCACGCAAAGGTGGGAAGGGCTGCCCTTTACTCCAGGTTGCCACAGTCTGCCTGTACATACAGAACCTACTTAATGCTTCAGATTGAGGCAAGAGCATATGCTGCCAAATGAGCTGCTTCCCAAATAGTCCTAGGTGTGTGGAAATACGTCAGGTGAGCAGGAGCAGCAGGGGCAGGATGGAGCCTAGCTGTTGGCACTTGGCACTCATCTCAGTTACGTATTAAGAAAGAGAAGAATCCCTGACTGTTGCTCTGCCTCCAGTATTGACTTTTCTCTGGCAGGCCAGTGAGTGTCCATGTGCTCTGAAATACTGTCTTGTGCTGCATGTTGCATGGAAAGCACTGACCTAATTAAAGGAACCATTCCAGGTTAGGAGCTGCCAGTTTATGGCCTGCGAGAGGTCCCTTCTTGTGTGAAGGAACAGCTTGCAGCTCATCTCTGTTTTGCTAATCTAATTTAGTTAATCTTGCACTTTTGAGGGAGTTTCTTCCCACTCGTGGACCTGAAGAGGTGGGTGTGTGAAGCTCACTTTGATTCTTTTTCTGTCTGCCATTAGATGTCTGTGGCAGAGACAGCAACTTGAAGATTGGCTGTATCTCATCTCCTCTAACCATGTCAGCTCTGCTGCTGTCCGGCTGCTTCCCAACACTCTGTGCTGCCCTCACTCCTGGCCAGCCTTTGGCATGGCTGTCATGTATTGCAGGCATGCTGTTCTTACAGACTTGGGAACTGCTTCTGGTGTCCTGGCAGTTCCAGCTTGTTTCCAGGGCCTCACTGAAGCTCTTCTGGGGCTCTGCAGTAAGGCTTTACAAGAAATATTCAGGGTAGAAATTACAGGGAGACTTTCACCTCTAGCAGTGACTGGATTGCATGGGGGTGCAGTCACCCCAGACATCTAGTCTTGGTCTCAAGCCAAACTCAGCTTTTAAGAAGCTCTGCTGCCATTGAAGTGGGAACACAAAATTTCCCATGCTGTGTCTTCCCAGGCTTAGCCCCTGCTGTCTCTTGAGGCTGTTCAAGGTGCTTATTGATTGTGACATTTCCTGAGGAGCCTCCCTTGAAAAGGCTTTGGGAATAGAGGGGAAGGTCTGCCACAGTATCTTACCTCTGCTGGCCAGGCTCAGATCTCTGGGCCAGGAAAGAAATTACTTAGACTCATTGCAGAGTCAATCAGTTTATTCAATGAATCGACAAGTGTTTATTCTGCTGCCTGGAGGCAAGACACAGAATTGACTGCCTTGAACTCTTAGACCCCGGTGGTGGTGCATTAGATGAAACCTTACTAAGTTTGCACAGCTGCTTGACAGGGTTGGGGACCCCAGGAAGGGCTGGAGGACTAGAGAGTCACCAAGTCAGTCTTGCAGGAGATACACTCTGCTTTTATCAGCCATTCTGTCTCTGCCTACTTTCAGCCCAAGCCTATTGCCTACAGATCTCTTTACTCCTTTAGCTCAATTTTGTATCACCATGTGTGACACTCCTGTTTTTCCTGTCTGGCTGTGCTGTGCTCTCAGGGAGGTGACATCTTCCTCTTCACTCTGCAGTGAAGCAGCATTCCTCCATGCTTCTCCCTGGCATCCTGCACTGTTCCCACTGTGATTCCATCATGGCACAGTGCTGTGGGCTCACACACTCTGCCTGCTCTCCTTCACACTGACTCCCTCCACTTCCAAAGGCGTGGAGAGAGGTAGATGTCACTGAACAGCAGCTCCCCTTCCCTTACAAATTCCTTGCTTTCCAGGGAAGGTTATCCCTGTCTGGTCTCCTGAAGGTGTTTCTAACAGTATGTGCTTTGCTTTTGCTTTCATTGAAGTGCCCTCATTCTTACTCAGGTATTATGTACCCCAGGAAAAGCACCATTTTGCAGTACAGGGTTCTCCCAATGCTCTGACCCTCACTCCTCAGTTCACTGAGCAGGCAGAGAGCAAGATCTGTGTGAGACAGGTGAAACTCTGCTCTCCCTGATTTGTCCTGTCATGTCCTTTCAGAGCCTGAGCTGTCCCACAGGAGTGTTACCCCCAGACTTGCAGCCATGATGGGAAGCTGATACACAGGGAATTGTGTGACTCCCCTTCTGTGCTTGTACAGCCAGCTCAGGACATTTCACACTGCTCAAACTTGGCTGTATTGATCAGACTAATTAAATGGCAGGCCTGGAATTAGATGGAGGTTGCAAATAGGTTTCCTGCTGTGCATCTCTTCCCACTCTTGCTTTCCAGTCTAGCTCAGGTCCTTCTTGCTGTGGGAGAGCCTGTCTTTGTGGCTGTTCTCTTGGTCCCTTGGGGAGCAGCTGCAGTGCGCCACTGCTATTCTTAGCTGTGAAGACAGCGTGCAAGTACCTGGCCCAGCAGAGCTGGAGCACTGCTCTCTGCCCAGCAGAACTCAGATAAATTATCCAGAAGATCTTGGTAGTGTGTAATTGAGCAGCTCTGCCACAGGCTGTGCTTCCAGCTATGTACACTCTGCTGTGCAGCAAGGCTTAATAATTGCTTGCTCCCTTGGAAGCCAAGAGCTCTGGCTTTGTCTCAAGTGATTGTGCCCTCTTCTCTGAGATTTTGGAGGGACTCCTCAGGTTCACTTGCCGTGTTTCATGCTTCTTTCTTTCCTGGTGGGAGATTGCATACATCAAACAATTATTCTTCCTTGACTATTTAGCCTGTCTTGAAGATATTTTGTCACCTGCTTTCTGGCACAGTCCTTTCTTTAATACAGAAATGAAGGGGGTAGGTGTCCTGGGTATGCCTTGAGCCTTGACTCTGTTCAGATCTGGTGGTAATGTCTCAGGAATGATCTGCTTTCTAACTGCTGCCAGAGCAATGATCTCTAAGTCTTTTCCAGCACTAACCAAGTCACAACCTTGATTTGCCCTGCTGCCGTGGGATGTGCTAACAGCTACAACAAGCAACAGGGGAATGTCCCTTGTACAGCACAGCTTTCACATCTGTGAAGGACTCAGGGCAGGATATGCTGTTCCATCTCACTAATGGGTTTCTCAGTTCTGCATGGCCATCTGCTTCGTGCTGGCTCTCTCCTGTCCAGTTCCTGGTGTGCTCCTGCTGCTTTGTTGGCCCCAGCCAGCTTGGCTCTCCCTTCACTTTCAAAGGAAAGGCTTGGTCTGGGGCCCAGCTCAAGCTGCATGTTGCGCCCTGGTCCCTGCGTGTCACAGCGCTGGCACGGGCGGTGCTGGCCGCGCGCCCGGCAGGTCCCTGGCAGCAGCAGCAGCAGCAGCAGTGAGAAAGTGAGAAGCTTGTGGCTGAATGCTGTGACTGATGGCGCCGTCTCCCTCTCTCTCTGCCCCAGATCGGCCGACCATTCTCTGCCCGGATCTTCCGTTTCCACAGACTTTGGCAGCTGGCAGATGGTGACAGGGTGTGGCAGTATTCGGGAGCAGGCAAGCCTGAGCGCGGACGCCTCTCTCCCTTGCAGCTTCCCGGATGAGTTCTCTAACACTTGCCTGTAAGTGTCTTAAATGCAGGATCTCTCCTTGGGTCTCTTGGCTGCCTGCGAGCGCTGCAACTTTATCACTCTGGCACTTTCAGAGAAGCCTGGGAGCCCATAACCAACTGTTCCACCTTCTCTGCCTCGATGGTTTCTATCCACAAACTCAGTCCCTGAGCACTCTTTGCTTATGCTGAACATGGAAAGAAAATGGCACTTTCTCTGCCTAATGATGGGGAAGTTCTTTGCTTTCTGTAGGAAGAAGAGGCTTTTCTCTCTTCCTTGAAGATGCTGAATTTGGGTATAATTGAGTGCAGTTGAGGATTCATGTTTGTCAGGACAGGACTGGTAACCCAGATTTCTTGCTTTTCGATTTTCCTCACCTACATCTCCCCACTGGGGTCAGATCCTTGCTGGAGTAAGAGAAGGACTTTCCTTCTGTAACCCAAATTTTGTCTGAGCTTGTGCAGTATCATTTTCAGGTGCTGTGCCTGGCCGGTGCAGAGCCACAGAGACCTTGTGTCCTGCCACATCCTGCCATGTGAAATGGCTGGGAGGCAAATGCTCCTCCCCAAATAGAAATCCACCTCTGGAAGCTTGAAAGCCTGGAGATGCGCTTTAATTGCTGTTAGAGGAGAGCCTTGGTTTGTGCCTTCAGGCTGCAAGCTCTTCATCAAGAAACTGAAATGGCAGATCAGGGGCTGCTGCTAGCAAGCAATGCTAGAGCTGTGCTGCCAGATGCTCAGTCCCTTACTGAGATCTGAGTACGTGCTTTGGAGGCTGAGGGCAGGCGACATGAAAACCCATGTGTCCTGTGAGACAGCTGCCTGCCCTGGCTCTGTGTCTCGTGTGGCTGCGTGATGTGCTGCTGAACAGAGCAGAGCAGCTGCCTTCAAGTTACGGTGAAGCTACAAGATCCATGAATTGACAGATCTAAACATTGCAAGAGATGTTGGACATGGCCTGGCCAGGATTTGTTCTTCTCCTTTCCTGAGGACACACTGAGCTGTTCCTGCAGTATTTTTGAGATGGGCAAGGGAGAAGGGACTGAAGCAGCATTGAATAGTGACTGCTTTACTGTGTCCTGAGCCTGGCTGTGCTTGGTCACTGCTGATCACCAGCAAGTTGTTGCTGCCCTTGGAGTTGGATCTAATGTCAGAATAGGGAATTCAGTAGAGAAACATGAATCAAAGTTGATAGGCCTTAGGCTTATGCAGTTTGGAAAGTGACTGCTTGGAGCAGTGGATTCAAAAGGAGGAGAACAGTAGTGGTGCTTCTCCTGTGGTTGCTCTGCCCTGTTCAGCTATTCACTAAAGCTGTGGGTTGCTTGAGGGCTGGGGACTGCTCAGCTGAAGGTGCCAGGACCAGGCACTGCACTGAAAGAATGAAGAGTTCCCAGTGGGGTTGAGCTTAACCCAGAGCCTCTACCCTCTCTCTGTTCTGCATCAGCCTTGTTTGCTCAGGACTCCATTGTGGTTTTATCCCAGTTTTTGCAGCCCGACACAGTATGATTTTTTTTCTTTTAATTCCATTTAAGTTCCCACTTTGCATCTTCACTGGCAGCAGCTCGATGAAGGTATGCTTTTCACAGCCTACTTCTTGTGCTTGTGTGGGGCTTGTCAGGGCTTCCTTCGAGCTGGGGCTTTGACAGCCTCCTCTCATCCCGCACCCCAAGCTGCAGGCAAGCGGGCAGGCTGTAGGAAGTGTAGCGGGGCAGAGTGCCGTGGATTTGGCAGGGAAGCGCGACCTGCCTCCGCGGTGAGCAGCTCAGGGTGAAATGCTGCAGCCCGTCTGCAGGGCTTGGTGTGGAGCAGTGGCTGGCTGCTTGACCCTGTGCCTTGGAGTGTCTCGCTCCACAAAACAAACTGAAAAACCCAAATACAAAATCTGCCTTGTAAAGAGGTGCGAGAGCCACGAGCCACGGGACCTCACTGCTGCACGCCCTCGCTTACCTCTGCGCGTGACATCTGAGATCGCTGCACTCGGGTGCAAGTAAGTCCTGCCTTCACGGAGTTTATTTTAAATGCTAGCAGGTTTGTGAGCTCCACGTCCTAATTAGGTTGCCAAAAAGCATCACTAATGTGTTTAGATATGTTGTTGCCTTTTTTTGCCCTCTGGCTTCTCTTTATTATCAGACACAGTAAACAGCGGCCTGGTTGGCTGCCTCGGCATCGCTTGCTGTTTATAGGCCTCCCACCATATCCTCTTGCTGCTGTTTCCGGACCGAAGCTGTTGGCTGTGGGTGGTTAACACTTCCATTCAAATGAGCTGTGCCAATTTATAGCCAGCCCAGGCGCTGGAAGATTAAAGAGAATTTTTTATGGGGAAGGTTCGCACTGTGCCCTTGGAGTGACCTTTGAGGAATGTCTTAATCTCTCTGGGAACCACTGGCTTGTCGCAGAGGCACCACAGCAAGGATCGTTTGAGGCTGGAGAGCTGGGAACAGCTGCCTCTGGGCCCCAGTCTTGCTTTCCCCTGCTCCTTTGGCTAGTCTTGCCTTCCTTCTGCTGTTTTCCCCCTGCCCCTAACCAGGTGTATGGATCAGCAGGAGAGGAGAGCAGGTCCCGTGGGAAGTCATGCCCTACTCTGCTCCTGTTTGCCGAGTGCAGCCATGCCACAGAGCAGAAGTAAAGCACTGCTCAGCTCTCCTCTTCCTATGGCTGGAGTGTTCCTTGGGGCTTTTGTCACCTTGTCTGCTCCTTCTCATCCCCTTTCCACAGAGCTGTCTCTGCTGGCACAGGCACATGAGGCTGGGGCTGGTGGAAGTGAGGGATGGTTGCAGATAGGTTGGAAGCAACTGTCCAGGCACAGCACACGTGGACAGGCTTCATCTGTGTGAGGAGGGGAGGGAGCTGGCATAGGGACTGATGTGAGTCGCCACTTCGCCAAAGCACCACTTTGTTTATGAACTGCAGCCTTATGAACACTATGGTGGTGGGAGAAACAGGGGACAGTGGGGTGTGTGAAGGAGGAAACCCTGTGGGGAGCAGGAGACTGAGGCTGCAGCTGGCTCCGTGGGTTGGATGAGGAGGCAGTGCCACCAGCGCTGTGGACAGAGCCTTTTTGCCTTGCACTGCCTTAGCCACTGCAGCCCGTGGAGCAGCACAGCCCTGTGTCAGGAGTGAGAGCTGGGATATGGAGAGCGATGGCTGCAGTCACTGACCTCCCCTTCTCTCTCCTAGACTGGTGTCACCGAGTGACCGTGAGTGTCGTCTGGAGGAAGTGCGCTCTGCCTTTCTGGCAAGCTACAGCCGGACCATCGGCCTAAAGGCCGTGCCCGCCAGCCCCTCAGGGGCCATCGGTGGTCTCCTCGAGCAGTTTGTGCGGGGCGTGGGACTGAGAGGCAGCAGCACCCTCTGAACACGGCGTTCCCAGACCACTGCCTGGAAAACTGGGGCTGGCACGTCCCCCAGCAGAGTCCTGGGACCCTCTCCGTGGTGCGGGCACCTGCTGCACCCAGCGCCCGCCGCCAGCCCCCCCTGCCTGGGGCTGGGGGGTGCGGGGTCTTCGGCGAGTCTCTGCAGTAAATGACCCGAGCTGTGCCCTCTCCTGCCTCCTCTCTGGGCTGCGGGCGGGGGCTGCGGGGGCGGCGCGGGGGAGCCGCTCACTATAAATAGCCCGGCCCACTCTTCGCGAGCGTCGGCACCGAAATAGCACCGAACGGAGCCCGGGAGGAAGCCCCCGGCGGGGCGGGATTGGGGCTGAGCCCGCTGTGCCCCTGACTGGGAATCGCGGGCGGGACGTTCCGGTGGAGCCGAGTCCCGGGAGCCGAACCCCCTGGTGCCCGGGTCGGTGCCACCGCTGCCGGCAGGGAAGGGCCGTCGTGCTCGAGCTGTGCCGAGCCGTGCCTGTGCCGAGCCGAGCCGTGCCCGTGCCGTACCCGCCCCCGGGCGCGCCTCCTCGGCGGCGCGGGAGGAGGCGGCGCGGAGCATCGGCGGCGCCCGGGCGGGGATGGCGGCTCCGGGAGCGCTGGAGCCGGCGGCCGGCAGCGTGCCGGGCACCAAGGTGGAGCTCACCGTGTCCTGCCGGTGAGCCGGGAGCTGGGCGAGGGAGCGGGAGGGCGGCGGCTAGTCCGTGGAGACGGGTGGGTGCGAAACGCACCGGGATGCGCGGCGGGGCTGCTCCTGCGTCCCGCTGCCCGCCGCTCAGCCCCTGGCTCGAGGCGTTGGGAGCTGCGCGTCCTCCTCTCTCCCCGGGTAGCTCTCGGTGCCAGGGCGTGTGCCCAGCGTCCCTCTGCCCTGCTGCTACCCGTCCCGTCCCCTACCTGGGGGCCCACGGGATGCTGTCACCGGGCACGGCTGCGTGAAGCGACCCGATGCCCTCACCCGCGGCTGGGGCGCGGGACGGCCGCTCGCGGGGCGATGTTTGTGGGAGGTGGGTGATGCTGGCGGGACGCGGGGTGCCGGCGCTGGCTGTGAGCTCGGTGCAAGGCAGAGGGACCGGGAACGTGGCAGCGGGATGGGGGCTGCGGGAGAGAGGCTGCTCCGTGCCCCAGCTTCTGGCCAGGGTCCGCCGATCAAGCGGCGGCGGCTGAGCCGGTCTGCCCGCGGCTAAATATAGCCCGTCGGAGGCACCGTTTCTTGCGGCCGGGGGTCCCGCTCGCAGGGACAGGCACAGCGTCCTGCCGGGGGGGAGCGTCCCCGTGCCGTGGGTCCTGTGGCACGGAGTGCCCCGACCGGGGTGGGTGCCTCCAGCACATCCCCGAGCTATGCAAACTCTGGGCCGGGCCGGGGGCTGTTGTGCCTCCCCGCGGCTGAGCCCTGGCCCCCGCTGCTAGTTTCCCTCACAGAGGCAGAGGGACTGTGGGTCCACGGGACCGGGCAGCTCCAGGCAGGGTCCGGGGGTCACACCTGGAGACAACCTAGGGCAGCCTTCGGCTTCGCAGCCCGAGGACCCAGCCCAGCCCAGGGTGGGGTCTCTCCCCTGCGTGCTGGGGCCAGGGGAGCCGGCTTAGCCCCGCAGCCCCCGCCGTGCCCCAGCCCACCCTGTGCTGCCACCCCGGGGGTGCGGGAAGTATCCCAGCAGAGCCGGTAGCACCTCCCGGCACTTCCCGGTGTCACACCGCGCACAGGACGACGATCAATCGCTCTGCCGGTAGGTGTGTCGGGGGATGCCCACTGGCTGCTCAGCCCCTGCTCCAAGTGTCTCCTTTCTTCTCACTTCTGCACCCTGCCATTAGCCCAGCTCCTGCTGCCGGGGCGCGGCGGGCACTCAGCCGGCGCCGGCGGCACCGAGGAAGGTTTCATCCTGTAAATGGGTTCCCTGTCATGTTCAATCATCATCGGCGCTGGAGACGCTGCTCGCCGCTTGCTCTGCTGCCCCACCGAACCTTGCAGAGGCAGCCAGCGTGTCTCCTTGGGAATGCCGATGCTCTTATCTATGGGTGCCAGCACGGCCTTCTGGCATGGTGCTGACCTGTGATCAGGGGGATGGACATGAGGACCCGTTACTGGGCCAGGTGGATGGCACTCAGGTTGGCTCACGCCTGGCTCTTCCCCCAGGAACCTACTGGACCTGGACACCTTCTCCAAGTCCGACCCAGGTGGGTGGCAGAGCCGGGCAGGGAGCATGGCATGGCACAGACACGGCACGGCAGCCTGGCTCTGCTCCTCTCTCCGCAGTGGTCGTCCTCTTTGTGCAGGTCTCGGGGAGCAGCGAGTGGAAGGAGGTGAGCGTGGCCCCCTCTCCTGGCTAATCCCCGGCTGGGTTAAACGGGCCCATATGGCCACCCGTGTCCACGCTAATGATCCCTCCCCGTCCACGCTAATGATCCGGCCCTGCCAGCAGCGCTAATCCCCCTCCGGGATTAGCGCCGAGGCAGCTGCGATGGGGACGGGTCCTGGGGGGGCCGCCCTCACCCCTCTCCCTGCAGTTCGGACGCACCGAGGTGATCGACAACACCCTGAACCCCGACTTTGTCCGCAAGTTCGTCCTCGACTACTACTTCGAGGAGAAGCAAAACCTGCGCTTCGATGTGTGAGTAGGGGGGCCAGGGAAGGGCTTGGCCCCGCTGAGGGTGGAACAAAGCACCGAGTCAGTAATAAATAAGGACAATAAATAAGAATACAGTGTCGAATAGCACGGATGGGCGGGGAAGCGGGGTTGTGTGCTGGAGCATCCCTGCAGGCACCAGCTCAGGGCTGTGCTCTCTTACACCAGCTACAATGTGGACTCCAAGAGCTGCTCCGTTTTAAAGCAGGTGAGCACAGCCTGTGCCAGGGGGACACACCCCGAGGCTGTGCCCTGTGTGGGTGCTGTCGGAGGGGACAAGTGCCCCTCGGCAGGCCCTAACCTGCTCTCCATCTCTCCATGCCCCATGGGGACTGGCAGAAGGTAGGTGCCTGCTACACACCTGCCCCTGCTCTGCCCTGGGAACACTGAACCTGGGAGTGCCTGGTGGGACACTCCATAGGGTTGGCTTTTGAGGGGTAAGATGGGTCTAGGGTGGCCCAAGGGGTCCAGGACAGGTCAGGGCATGGAAGGCAGTTTGGGGGAGCAACAGAGGATGGGTCCAGGGATGTGGGTTGGCCCTGGGGGCACAGAATGAGTGTAAAGCACATGGAGTGGGCACATGGGGTAGTCCTGGGGATGAACAATGGGTCCTGGGCTGCAAGGTGGCTCTTGGGTCACAGCGTAGCTTCAGGAAACGGAGTGGCCCAGAGTCAAGTTGGTGGCAGGTCCCATGGGTGCATTGGGAGAGAAAGTGGTGGGTGTGGGTGGTAGGGGACTGGGGCAACCCTCCATGGTCACATAGTGCTTTCTTTGGGGCACAGGACTTCCTGGGGCAGGCATTTGTGGCACTGGGAGAGGTGATTGGGTCCCAACGGGGACGCCTGGAGAGACCCCTAACGTGAGTCACATCCTGTGGTGAGGTGAGGTGAGAGGGTCCCACACTGTGTCTCCACCATCTGCTCCACTGCATGTCCTGTGCTGGGGATTCTGATCACACTGCCAAGCACCAACAGCTGTGGGACAGAAGCCCCAACCCTGACCTCTTCTCTTGTCCCTGAACTGTCCTCCTTGTTCCCAAGCTGACTGTGTGCCTCTGGTTCCAGGGGTGTCCCAGGGAAGCGGTGTGGGACTATCTTGCTGCTGGCTGAGGAACTGAGCAACTGCCGGGTGAGTACCCGTGTACTGGCTGCAGGGTGGAGAGGGCTGATGGTCCCTCAGTAGAGCAGCTGCTGGTGCCAGGAGTGAGGAGGTGGCTGGCAGTGACAGTCCCTGTCCCCAGGACATCGTCACAATGCAGCTGTGTGCCAACAAGCTGGATAAGAAGGACTTCTTTGGAAAATCCGATCCTTTCCTCGTCTTCTATCGTAGCAATGAGGATGGCACGTGAGCACAGGGACCCAGTGGGGCATACAGGGTGCCAACGTCACCAGACAGCGTGGCCCAACCCTGCTTTGTCCCCCCAGCTTTACTATCTGCCATAAGACAGAGGTGGTGAAGAACACACTGAACCCGGTGTGGCAGCCCTTCACCATCCCCGTGCGCGCCCTCTGCAACGGCGACTACGACCGGTACAGGAACAGGGATGGGGACATGGGCAGCTGTGGGGCCAGAGCAGGGTGTGAGCAGTGTTTGGTGGGCTTGGTCCTGCAGTGGCAGGCAGCTCAGAATTGGGTCCTGATTGGGTTTTTTTCTCTTTTGCAACCCAAATTACATAAAGGCATCCCCCTCCTTTCCAGGGCCCCCACCATGACCCAAATTTCCCGCTCCCTCCTGGCAGAGCCGCAGGCTGGGCAGGCAGGGCGGCTCTGCTGGAAGTTGGTGGGCAGGGTGCTCACTGCGGGTTGGGCTGTGGGCCTGGATGTCCCCAAATCAGGGGCTGGAGGGGCTGTGCCAGCCTGGCTGGTGGCTTACCCTATGTGCCTTCACTTTCAGGACGGTGAAGATAGATGTGTACGACTGGGACCGGGATGGGAGGTGAGGGAAGGGACACCACTGTTATATTGCACTAAATTCTTACACACCAGGGTGCTGCTGAAGCTTCCCAGGGCACCTCTCAGCCGGGTGCCTGGCTGTACTGACCCTGTGTTCCTCCTGCAGCCATGACTTCATTGGGGAATTTGCCACCAGCTACCGGGAGCTCTCTCGAGCACAGAGTCAGTTCACAGTGTATGAGGTAGGGTGGTGGGGCAGGGTGAGGGCAGGGTGCACTCCATGCTGAGACTGACTCCCCCCTGTGTCTGCAGGTGCTGAATCCCAGGAAGAAATGCAAGAAGAAGAAATATGTGAATTCTGGCACTGTGAGTGGGGCTGGGGAGTTCTGGGCCTCCTGCCTTCCAGGGGCTGGTGTGGCTCCACCTGCTGTGTGTGCCAGGTTCAGGGGGCTCCAGATCTGATCCCCAGTGCCCACAGGTGACACTGCTCTCCTTCTCTGTTGAGTCTGAGTTCACCTTCGTTGACTACATACGGGGCGGGTGAGTGGGGGGCCGGGAGCCCCCCGGCTCCTCGAGATCCCCATGGCTGAGAGTCTCGGGGCAAGGACAGTGGTGACAGTGAAGGTTCAGCCTGGGGGTGACAAGGGGGCAGTGGGGCTGGGAA